AGCTTTGGTGTACGATATTAAAGTTGACAATTTGTACCGACTGAATATTAATGAAAGTTCATCATTTTCTGGTTATATGGATGCTTCTTTTTATGCTTTTATGTGTATGGATTATCCATATTTATGGCACTTAATATTAGGATATATAAATAAAGACAAAATGAATCAAATGGTTAAAAGAGGCTTGCTCCCTAATTTAGGAGATATTGTATTCCAAACATGCGAGCCATGTATTTCTGGTAAATTAACTAAAAAGCCTTTTCCTAAAGGGAAAATATCTAGTGAACTACTTAGTATTGTTCACTCTGATATATGTGGTTCATTAAATGTGAAAACACATAGAAGTATGGAATATTTCCTAACATTTATAGATGATTATCCACGTTATGGATATGTATACCTAATTAGTAAGAAATTAGATGTATTAGAAACATTTAAAGAATATAAAACTGAGGTAGAAAATCAGTTAGGTAAACATATGAAAATTCTTCGAATAGATAAGGGAGGTGAATATTACTCCGCCTTATTTTCTAAATTTTGTAAGGAGTATGGTATAATTCACCAAACAACTAGGTCCATGATGAGCCATTCAAATTTATCACCTCATTTTTGGGGTGAGGCTCTCAACACTGCAATATATATCATTAATCGTATTCCAACTAAATCTATAGACTTGACCCTATATGAATTATGGACAGGTAAGAAACCTGACCTTACTTTATTGAAAGTTTGAGGTTCTTGGGCACATGTGCTTATACCACCACAAAATAGAGATAAATTACAAAGTAAAACTATAAAATGCTCTTTTATAAGCTATTCAAAAAATTCTAAGGGGTATAAATTCTATAATCATGATACTAGATCATTAGTAGAGAGTCGTGATGCTCATTTCAGAAGAAAATATAGATGATGAAAATATTTTAAATAATCCTATTGACTTACATGAAATTAATAAAGATAAGGGTCTAGAAGACCCTGTTTCTCAAACTGCCTCTACATTTGGTGATAATGATTCAATTGAATCAAGTATATCAGATAGGCCAAAACGAACTAGAGCCCTACCTACGACTTTAGAAGAATTTTATGTATTTATGAATGAAGATAATTACTCTTCAATGAGTGATGATACATTAGATGAACCTCGTAGCTACAGTGAAGCTATTAGCTCACATGACTCAGCTGAGTGGACTCAAGCCATGGATGATGAACTTAATTCAATTAAAAGAAATCAAGTCTGGGAGTTGGTTGACCTCCCTAAAGATAGAAAAGCCATCGGTTGCAAATGGGTCCTAAAAAAAAAACTTAATGCAAATGAATCCGTTGATAAATATAATGCTAGGTTGGTAGCTAAAGGATTTACCCAAAGGGAGGGCATAGATTATGTAGAAACTTATTCTCCAGTACCAAAATTTTTATTTATTAGGATCATCCTTACATTAGTTGCATATTATGATCTAGAATTATTTCAGATGGATGTCAAAACAGCTTTTTTAAATAGAGAATTAAAAGAAGATATATACATGAAACAACCAGAAAGATATTTAATTAAAGGCCAAGAAGACAAAATATATAAACTTAAGAAATCTTTATATGGTCTAAAAGAGTCTTCTGGGCAATGGTACTTTACTTTTCATAATGCAATCACTGAAATTGGTTATATAGCCAATAGGTTAGACCATTGTGTATATGTCTGGAATAATGAAAGCAATTTTGTTATATTGTTACTATATGTTGATGATATTTTGATAGCCAGTAATGATATTGACATGATTAACCATACCAAATCATGGTTAAGTTCCCATTTTGAAATGAAAGATATGGGAGAAGCCTCATATGTATTGGGCATTAAGATAACAAGATATAGAACTTCAAGACTTCTATGTTTATCTCAAAAAAATTATTTAGAAAGTGTTTTAAAGAGATTTAATATGGAAAATTGTAAGTCCATAGGTACACCTATTTGTAAAGGCTTGAAATTATCAAAGAAAATGTGTCCATTAAATGATAGTGACAAAGCTGAAATGGAAAGAATTCTATATGCTCAAGCTGTAGGATGCATAAATTATGCCATATTGTGTACAAGACCTGATTTGAGTCATGCATATGGTCTTGTAAGTAGATTTCAGAGTAATCATGGGACGGCTCATTGGCAAGCTGTAAAAAAGATACTAAGATATATTCAGAAAACTAAAAATTACAAGTTGTGCTTCCAAGCTGACAACTTAGAGGTTACTAGGTGCTCTGATGCAGATTTTGCAAGAGACCCAGATGATACAAAATCAACCTCAGGAATTGTATTCTTCTTTGGAGGTGGATGTGTTTCTTAGTCTAGTAAGAAACATGGTTATGTAGCACGATATACTATGGAAGCCGAGTATATTACTTGTAGCATTGCTAGAACTTATGCTGTTTGAATTAAATGCTTTATAAATGATTTGAAGCTGGATATAACCGATGGACTTGTTAAAATTTTTGTGATAATCAGGCTGCTATTTTATCAATTAGAAATGAAGCTTATAGTTCCAAGGGTAAGCACATTGAAATTGATTATCATTATATTTATGATATTATTGGAAAGAATGAAATAACTGTAAGTTATTTGCCATCTTCATATATGATTGCAGACCCTTTAACAAAGGGACTGGGAGCAGAAATATTATCAAAACATGTAGCTTTGCTAGGACTTAGAAATATTTAAGTCGGGAACTCCCCAATGTGATATTTTTTGATGTCTTGGTCATGAGAGGAAAAACCGAATTAGCATGAAAAACCATGACATGACTTTGGATATTTTTGTTATAAGATGTATAACCGCACTTGCTTGAAAGCCTCATGACAAATATATGCACATAAATGTTAAATTCAATAGTATTAAAGACTTTATGATATTTCAATATATCTGGTCTTCATGGCTAATTGGGAAATGTTGGTACGTGTGTGTGGCCATGGGGCCTTTAAACATGCAATATTTTTTTCTCTTATAATTTAATGCTTATCACTAAAAAAAGGAGGCTTTTTAGAGAGAGAAAGTGTCATTATCTAACGATTAGAAAGTAACCACCCACTTCCCAAGATTACAGGGTCACGTTTTCTCAGAGATTTCAGGAGGAAGCGAATGTTGGAGAACAACCTCTTCCATCCCTCTTTAAGAAGGGTTTCATGACCATGGAGAGGGACACAGAAATCTACAGAGTTCTCACAGTTCTGGTAAAAGCCTGATCTTTGCAATCGATAGTAGTCTCAAGACATTGCCCCTAATCCTAGGAGTGGGTCCATCTGTTCCCTCAAGTTTTTCAACAAGTTCTGGGTCCAAAACTGGACCCGAACACTATTTGGGTCCGAGTCCAGTTGGATCCGATCGGCACCTGTAAATTATTGGAGATAAAATACTTCAAGCCCTATTCGCTTGGCTTGAAATCTAATGACAGGTGATTGTGACCTTGTTATGGATATACGATGGTAAAAAAATGGAGAAAAAAAAAAACAAAAAGAAGCTCATAGTGAGGTTAGCAATAGACCCGACCAGACCCGAGGCACGATAGGATAGATGCCGGACCCAACAAGTACGGGTATGTGTCTAATTCTTGGACCTGACGGTTCAGGTACGGGTCCAAAACCTGGACCCAAATACTATTTGGGTCAAGGGCTGGGGTCCAGCCGAACCCGACCCGTTGCCACCATCCCTAACAATATACTCCTTTGGGAGCATAATTGTATGTATGCATGTGCAAATATCATCCAAGCCTTATCCCAATTATTGTATGTATGCATGTGCAAATATGATGATACTAATGATGTATAATATTATATTTTGTATATACATAATGATACATCATTGCATATAGCTGCATGTGAAAACACAAGCGTACTATCTATGATCATACTTACATACTAGACATGTATCCTCCCTTAATGCTTTCAAGTGAAAATTAAAATAAAATAATAACAAAACAAAAAAAATTTATTTTCATTAATATTTTTAGAAGGGAAAATATCTCCATATCTCTTATTTTTAGGTTTCATTTATTGATAAACCCAATGTTTCAAAAGATATCTTCTGACCTCCTAAGCATTTTAAACCTATTTTTTAACCTAAACAAATGTGAAAAAGACATATTTTTTTTAAACCCAATCCCGCCAAACTTAAAACCCTATGTCTTCTCTCTTTCCATATTTCCCATTCTTTTTCTCTCCACAAAGAGAGCACAAAGCTTCAATGGACATCAATAAATATTTTTAGTTATAGATATGGTTCTCAAAAGACATTCTCTAAGCTTTCAAAGGTTACTAAAACACACCTTTCACGGGTAGAGAAAATGGGGGAAAAATTTGTCGATCACAGGGAGAGAGAAAGAGTTGGAGGAGCACGGGGAAGAGAGAGAGTGAGAGACAGAGAAAATGGGGGAAATACGGAAAGGGGTTTAGCCGATGGAGAGAGAGAAAATGTGGGTTTGGAAAGAGAGAGAGTGAGACACGAGGAGAGAAAATGTAAGAAATACAGAGAGGGGTTTGCCAGATGGGGAGAGAGAAGAGAGAAAATGTGGGTTTGGCAGATGGGGAGAGAGAAAACGTGAAGGGAGAGAGATTTAGAAAGAGAGGATGACTTTTAGAAAAGATATGTCATTTTAGATTTGTTTGGCCTAAATTAAATTAACTCAAGGTCAGAAGAAATAAAATCTACAATTTTTATGCCCCAATATATCTTTTAAAATATTGAGTCAATTGTGAAATGAAATCTAAAAATAGGGGGTATGGAGATATTTTTCCTTTTTTGAAAAAAATGACTAATATCATTCTCAAAAATATCAATCTCAAATTTCCACAGTAGATGTAACCAATCATATAAGATCTTATAAAGTTGAGGATTTCATTTTATTTATTTTTCACAAAATGGATTAGCATCTTATTTCTTCCTTAGAAGGGATTGCATGGACATGCAAGCTCTCCTTTTTACAGTAAATGGAAAAATATACGATGAAACCGAACAAAAGGCCTAAACCCTAAACCTCGCCACAACGAGCAGGTGCAAAGGAAAGCATTCGCTTTCCAACATCATACTCCACCACCCTATTTTGCTGAGCCCAATTTCCTAAAATGGACATACCCTGAGAAGCACCTAGTATTCCCAAGCAAATCATATGCCCATCATCTAGGGGAATAAATGAATTCTCTGGCCCATTTATCCAGTCGGCGTTACCTGAAAAGTGGAACGTAATATTCGGTAGTCCGGTAATATTACCGGAATCAGGGACCTCGAAACAAAGACTAAATGGCCTGGGAGGATCAGTCTTTGGAAGATCGATCGCTTTCTCGACTTCGTCGGCCAGTTTATCGTAAACATCAGGCCCCAGGATAGTCAGAGAGGTGCCTGAATCTATCAGGAACGGTTCTCCATTTTGGGTTGGATCAAAGTAAAGTGGAGGTATGTCTAGCCTCTTCGACCCGACGCTGATGCCTGTTAGATTCAATAGAAAGAAGGTAGGGTTACCTTCGAGCTGAATCAATTGTGTGCTTGAAACATCAGACGCCTGGATATCGGCATTCTCGCCGAAATTCAACACGCTGGTCACATTCTCGTCGAGCCTTGATGGTAGGCAGTACGAGAATTTGTTTGAAATCGACCGCCCTAATTGTGAGATTAGGGATAAGGGTCCACCTCCAAGCCCAACCAGGCCTTGCTCATTATCATTGCCAAAGGACCCGGCGTTTGAAGTGCCACACCCGAACGCAAGTCGCTTGATTTTGGCACTGGTTCCATGATCGGTAGTCTGTTTAGCACTGGTGGTCGAGGAAATAATGTCGGAAATGGTGGATTCCGGGGTTTCGAAGATGAAGGTTTCAGATAAAAGTGGGCCACTGGTGCTCGATCCATCGCCATATGACATGGAGTACTGGCAATATTCACCATAGCACCCCGCATCCATCGCAAGGGCTTGGCACTGGGGGGAAGAACAAGCTAGTTGTTGATATGTGGAAGACGATTTGGGGTCGAAAATTGGGACTGATTGGTTAAAACAGCGTTCACAAGGGAGGCACTGAATCCAACTTAAGTCGCTCCCCGTGTCGGCAATAAGCCAGAAACTGTTCACCGGAGTCCCGACCCCGACCTTCATGAGGAACTCATTAGGACCTGCCTTCACCGTCGATTGAAGCTTTGATGGCGAAGACTCGGCAGCGAGAACCAAGCTCATGTGGCGTAGGCGGGAGATGGAACGTTGTGCAGAACGCTGAAGGAGGTCGGAGGGAGAGGCAGAGTGATCATACAGGGGGGAGAAAGGAGAGTCGCGATGGATGAGGGCCACCTTGAATGAAGATGGGTTGGAAGTGGAGATGTGTCTAGAGAGAGAGGACATGGGGAGAGAGAGAACGAGAAGAGAGAGATAGAGGGTTCTTAGAATCATCATTGGCTCCATGACTGAGAGATGTAGGCCTTGAGGGTTTAGAGAGAGAGAAGATATAGTAGTGTGCCTTGCCTGAAAAATTGGTAAGTTTTCAACACATTGATTTTGTGAGGCCTCTAATAATTGAGTAATCTTCTTCCTCTCCATTAAACTGGAATTTTCACTATAATTGAGAGATTTCACTCTCATGATTCTCTCCATTTATGAAATTGTTTTAGTAGCTATGGCAGTTTCACTAAATTTAAGAGATCTCTCTCCATGATTCTCTCCATTTATGAAACATTTTTTAGTACCTATTTAGGGAACTTTTTACATAGATAATTCTCTCTCTCATTTAGTAATATTTGCATTTAGTAGACTCTTTATTTTGAAAAAGCTTTTATACCTCCATATCTTTCCTTGAAAAGGAAATTCTGCCATTTTCTACAATTGTTATCTTTGCATAGTGTCTTATGGGGAAACTGTGATATTTATCCTTGATTTTCCTTTGAAATCTCAATCGGCATGATCTGTTAATCCATGCGTTAATTTGCCATGACCAAGTACAAGTATCTGTGCCTGGGTTAATTTGCAAAATTTGAAGACATCTTTGGAATGTACTTTTAGATAACGTGTTTTACTGTGTGTACTTGGTAAAATTACCAATTTACGTTTCGGTCTATAATTTCGGTACTTTTACTGTGAGGTCAATATTCATTGATTTTTATTTTATTTTTCAATCTTGACTTAGAATATAAGCCGTTCAAACCCATGGGAAATATAGAGAGAGTAGGACCTCGCAGTTAAATTCCAGAAGGTATGGATCCAAATGTGATTTTGATAATTTTACCCCTAAAAAAAAAAGTAAAGACGCAAAATAAGTTTGGATACAAAATAACGATCCATATATTAGGATATCTTATTGTGAGGTTCAAAGTTTTTTAGCTCCTCTAATGTCATTTACCCTTGGTTAGAAAGTACTCCTAATCGCTTCAATGTTTGAAATATAGAATCATGGGCAAAAATAGAGAGAGTATGACCCTGCAGTCAAATTACTGAACTTGTGGATCCAAACGTAAATTAGGTAATTTTACTCATAAAGGAAAAAGTAAAGACGCAAAATAAGTTTGGATACATAAGAATGGTCCATATTTTAGGATGTCTTACAGTGAGGTTCAAAGTTTTTGAGCTCCTCTAATGTCATTTGACCTTGGTTAGAAATTACTCTTTTGAATGCCCTAAACTTAAAAAACTGTGCTTCGGTATTTCAAAAGTTGCTTCCAATTGACCAACGGCAAAATGATTTGGTTTTTGGCGGGTTCAAACGATTTATTTTCGAACCACTTAAAAACAAAAAGAAAAAAAAATAATTACATTGATCAAAATATCCATAACAGATGAATTACTTAATATTCTACTTATTTGCAACAATTCCAACCATAGTTAGCAAGTCGGGGACTATCAATAAATCGACTCACCATAAAATCGAACACAAATCGTTTTTATTTTAAAAAGGCGGATGAAAAAATCGGGTAAAAAATGCGGATCAACAAAAATACTTCATATAAAGATATTGTTAATATATCGGATTAGGCTAAAAAAATCAGAGTAAAAAAATTAGATAAATTTATAATATTAAAAATTTTAAAATTCTAAAAAATAAAAATTATGTCAAAGCCATCAATAACTAATTCATCTATAAAACTTTACTAGACTAATATAATTAAGTCAATTAATTTAGATGCCTCGTGATTTTAATGCAATCCTCCAATATTGAATACATAATTAACTAGTATATACCAAAAAAAATTGTACCATATAAATATACCCATTACATACCAAAAACAAATATACTATATAAATTTATTCATTAAATACTTTAACATCACACCTACTTAGCAGGTACAAATAAAATATATGATTTTTGTTTTCTCATTACAAGCATTTAACTATAGTATGATGGTCACTATGGTCATACCATAGCTATGGTTAGCGTTTTATGTTTTTCTTTACTTGAAAAGAGGCCTGTAGAAATTTGGGTTTCACAGCTCCCTGTTTACGGATTAGAGAGAGGAGGAAGAAGGAAGATAAGAAGAAGGTTACTGTTTAGAGAGAGGAGGAAGAAGGAAGATACAAAATGGGTTGGGCTCATAACCAGGGTTTATAGAGATAGAAGAAGGAAGAAGAAAAAAAAAGAAAAGGCCATAGGCTTCACAAACCCTAATGGAAAAGGCTATAACTGATTTTTAGAAAGAGAAAAGAAAGATGGGATGCCGATTTGAGATAGTTTGAAGATGGCTTTTTTCTCTGATTTGGATGTTGTTTGAGAGAACGCTTTAACTATATTGATTTGTCAAGATGTCTTAACTGATTTTCAGAGGGAGAAAAGGTAGAGGGTTTTCCATTTTCTCGAGGAAACAACAAGCAGAGCAAAAGGATTAGGTTTGGGGAGTAATCCTATATGTACAATTTCTTGCTCCTTTAAGTTTACAATTTACACTATATTGTTTATCTTTGCTATCAAATAATCAAAAGCAAACTATTGATTACTTTGTCATGTAGTTGCAGTCTCTATTTCTTATTCATTAGTAAAAGACTATGTTTTGAGCTCTAATTTGTGCCATAAACAGTATTTTAATAAAAACAATTATCACAAATAATCACATAAATATGCATGTATATGATTTTCTTTGCACAATATATTACTTTACAAAATGATTTGCTATAAACAATATTTTATTCACACAATAATTTTCCATAATAACACTGATATCTGCATCTATTTGTTTAATTTTTTTAAAAAAAGGGAAAAAAAAATCATACCTTCAATATGCAACTGTGGCTTCGAAGAACATAGTGGGGATAAAAATTCCTATTTTAGGTTTTTTTAAAATAATATTTTTTTTCAAAGGCATGAAAGTAGCAATGGCTGCAATACACAAAGCATGAAAAAAAAAACATTTAAAAAAAAAAATTATAGGTAAAAAAGATGCAATTTTTTGGCCAGATTTAAAACGTATTATTAAAAAAGTGCATTTTAAACGTTTTTAAGAAAAGTACGCTAATTTTTCAGACCTCTTCCAAAAATCTCCGTTTAAAGCTGTTTTTATAAAAATGCCGATTTTTTGAAAAAATCGCCAATTAAATGGCAATTTACTAACTATGATTCCAACTCAACATAATGTGTTTTTTTAACGGTAGTTTGAAATTAAATCTGTAATTGTTTCATAATTTGATCTTGTGTTTTTTTAACGTAGTTTGAAATTAAATCTGTAATTGTTTCATAATTTGATTATTACCCTAAAACAAGCTTGTGTTTTGGGATATTCGAAAGGATAGGTTTGGACCACCCAAACACGCCAACCCGCTATCTTCTCTTAAACTCGTTTGAGTAACTTTCCAAAGCTTGTAAGCCATAATAACATAGGTGGTCCCTCCCTCTCTAAGCCAGAGCTCTTGAACCCCCAATCCTTCTCTCAAACTCGTTTGAAGAACTTTTCAAAGCCACGCTTCTCTTTTCACTGGTAAGCACTACTTTCTCTCCTTGAGCCATAGTAACTGGTTTGCATAGGTGATCTCTCACTCTCTAAGCCAGCGCTCTTGAGCCCTAATAAGAGCATAAGATGCTCTCTCCCTCTTTAAGCCCGGTCCTCCGTCTTTCCCTCCCTCTCTAAGCCTGTGCCTTCTCTCTCGAGCACTAATAACTGGTTTGCATACGGTCCTCTACCTCTCTTTAACCAGTTATTTTGATGTGGATAAGCCCTACCTCTTTAGTGTCCTCCAATGCCTCAAAATTTTCTACTGCAACTACCAAATCTTTTAGTTTACTAATCAAACTTCTTCCCATTTTTTAACTTGTAAGATTTTGAATTTGGTATCTATAAAAATTTAATAAAAATAAGGCTTATCACAATAAAAATATGTTATTCCAATCATATTATTCCAATGACTTATCATATTGAAACCAAAGACTAATCATGTTAGAAGACATGTGATTCCTTGTAAGTGCCCGAGGCATGCAAAATAAGTAGGAAATGGTGTGATGATGACTTTAGAATGGTACAAGTTATTATTAAAAAATCTTTTTAGAATGGTGATGTTGTTATTATTAGAAAATATTTTTGGAATGGTGTTATGATAACTTTAATTCTGCATTTCAGTGGAATTTTGTGACAAAAATGAAAGAAATAATAGTTTATAAGTAAGTGTTGGTAAAATATTGATAATGTATTTCCCATATTTCTTTCAAACATAGCCAAACAGTAGCAATGTAATTCCCAGGTTGCATCTAAATACTTACCAAACAATAACAATCAATTTGCAGGTAATGTATTTCGTCAGTAATATACAATAGATTTCCAGGTATCCAAACGGCCCCTTAGGGTACGTTTGGTTCGTGCGTAAATATTTTTCAGAAAATATATATATATGTAAATTTTGTTTCACACATTTGGTTCGTTCCAAATGCATATGCAAATATTTTACCATGGTAAAATATTTTATCATGAAAGGGCCAAAAATGGTCAAATGAAACCACCCCTCATGAGGTGAGAAATATTCCCCGGGGAATTTTTGCATACCGAAGCTAAACTATTTTATAAAATCCAATTTATATTATATTTATAATACAATACATGTATTATATTATATATATTATATATACAACATTTATACATATTTATACTATATTCTATAAGAAATTGGATCATAATAAAATTTTAGATTGTGTACTAAAAAACAGGGAGCATAATTTAAAAATATTTTTGAAAATATAAAATGACCGAAATACCCCTAAAAACTGACAGGGATAACTTGGTTATTTCAAATAATTGAAAATATTTTTTTTATATATTTTTATATGGTACACAATAGTGTTAGATATGTAAATATTTCTTGAAAAATATTTATGCACGAAGCAAACGTACTCTTAGGTCTTTAGACCGCACAAATGTGGGACTTGCAAGCCAGGAGTA